TATGTAGTGTGCACTAGAGTTCAGTCTCTAGTGTTTAGAGTGCACTGTACTGTACCATTACCACATGGTGGTGTGTGGGAGATTACAATTGTATATGAGGACTGGCAGTCAGGTAAAGTCCTAACTGGAATTCATAAGGAAGTAATGACAAGGGGAAGTAAGCCAAGTAGGTTATTTATTTATTATTGAAAAATAGATTCTTCTCTCATACAAGGTTTGCTTGTTTTTTAGGACTGAGTCTCATTATTTAGACCAGGCTGGCCTTGAACTCACAGAGCTCCACGTGTTTTTTCCCATCGCACCTGGCAGATACCTTTTTTGAACATGTTTTAGTGTGTGTGTGTGTGTGCGCGAGTGCGTGTGCGCCATGGCAAGTGTATAGAGGTCAGAGAGGACAACTTTCAGGAGCTGGTTCTGTGTTCCCACATGGGTCTCAGGGATGGAACTCCACCCTCCACCCACTGAGCCATCTCACCATGACTCCCTGATAGGTATCTTGAAGTATAGAACATTCCAGGTAGAAAGACCAGGACACTGAAAAAGTTAGGTGTAGGAGGCAGGCTTGGTGAATTCCAGGGACAACAGGAGAGCCAATATAGGGACAAGGACAGGAAAGCAGAATGGCTAGAGATGAGATTGCAGAGCTGCCTGTTGTGATGGTGACGTAGAAGGTACATTTGAATAGCATGGTTCAGTTTAGCAGTTTAGAAAATGTATGTTGCTGTTGTGCAGAGGATGCACTATGGGTTAAGAGAGCAAGCAAGGAAACCAGTGAAGGCTGAAAGAGTATCTAAGTGATTGGGGGCCAAGGAATACCACAAAAAACATACCCTAAAATAGACATCATAAAGAGACTTACGGGGGGGGGGGAGTGAAAAATGGCTGCTTGTGAGTGGGGATGGAGACAGTGACAGGCCAGGCTGTGTTGGCAGGCTTTCTGGGAATATGGAGCAAATAATAGGGAAAATATGTTGATAGTGGAACATGTCACGTTAGCCATTAGTGATAGTGGTATGTCCAACATTCCTCCTTTTTGTTTATTATAAAAAGGTACGGAGTATGAAAGGGTGACTTCTGAGATAGGAGTAAGGATGCTGTGTTCTTTGGACTGCTTTCTTTCTTTTTGTTGTTGTCTTAGGGATTGCAGGAACACCAGAATTGACATCTTTAAAAAAATAATTTATTTACATTTATTTTATGTGCATTGTTGTGAAGGTATCAGACTCCCCTGGAACTGGAGTTACAGACAGTTGTGAGTTGCCATGTGGATGCTGGGAATTGAACCCAGGTCCTCTGGAAGAGCAGTCAGTGCTCTTAACCAACGAGCCATCTCTCCAACCCCCAGGATTGACATCTTATTAACTTGAAAAAAAAAAAGGTTGCTATACCTTTGACTGACTTAATGATCACACTCAAAGACATTTGGTACCACTATGTCTGTTCTGAAAAAACAATTGCCTTGGTCAGTGAGATTATCCCTTAAGAGAGATTCCAACAGCTTAAAATTAAAGACATGAAATTCCTAGTCATTTTTGTGTCAAATGAGTGGGAATATCTACCAGAATTTTTTTTTTGCATGGTTGTGCAAGTAGATGGAAGTGGCAAACTGAACCTTATTTAGGTAAACATAATATAATTTAGAGGAAAATAACTTAGTCGTACTTTTTTTTTAAAATTAAGATAAGGAAACTAGCAGAGTGGTGGTGCTGGTACACACCTTTAATCCCAGCATTTGGGTGGCTGAGGCAGATGGATCTCTGAATTTAAGGCCAGCATGGTTTACATGTTAATCCTACTGGGCAAGAATAAGACCACAACCTCAATTTTTGAGCCAAATGTGAAGAAAGCTTTATTCAATACTGGTCATAATGATGGACACTGACCAGGTCCATGCCCACTGACACCATTAGTCAGAGGCTTATGAAGGCAAAACCTACAAGGCTATGTACTGCCTGCCTTCATCCAATCCGGGGCAAGCATACACACTTACTGTGCACATACCTCCTGCCTATGTATGATAAAGCACATCCCATTCAGCTGGCACAGCCCTGCTTGTTTACAGAAGCAAAAAACCCATGGGCTTGTTATCTTATATGAACAACAGCCTCCAGCATGCCAGTTTACAACCTAATTTTTTATAAAGGTCTTTCACTACCCAGAATATATATGGTTTTCTACAAAGTGCCACACTAAAATTAGTAATGTTGATGGAAAAAGTTCCCTGTAGCATGGAGAAACAGTTGTTTCCATCAAAACAATGACATTAAAACTATAGAGTTGGAGGGGTAAATCAGAGGATAAAGTTGTTCTGATAGAGCTTGGCAGCCTTAATAAACTAGAATCAACTACCAGTCCTCATAGGCCAAATTTAAGAAACAAGTAAAAGAGTTAAGGTAGACTTGGCTCCCACCGCTAATCCTAGTGCTCAAGGGGTGAGGCAGGAGGATCACCAAGAATTTGAGGGAGGCCAGCCTGAGCTACAGAGTGAGACCATGATTCAAAATACAAAAGGAAACACACAACAACAAAAACAAAAGGAGAGAGAATGAATAGTTAAAAGCAGGGAACAGAGGCACATTAGGAAGGGAAACAAGGGCGGGAGATATGGCTCAGGGGTTAAGAGTGTTAGACCCCCGGAAAACTCAGGTATCCGGGGTCCCAGGCCATGACTTCGGTCACCCCAATCACCAGGCAGATTCAAAAGCTTGCTGCAAACTGCACGAGGCTTTATTGTAATTTAACGAGCTAACCCCATGTTAGCTCGGGTCTTTCACCTACCTGCCATGGCGGATGGCTAGCAAAGATGGCTCCTAGGGGCTCCCGAGAGATCTTATAGGAGTGTCTAGGGGTACGCACAGGCTCACGATTGGTGTGCCTCCAGGCTTGGAGGGCTTGCCCTGTGTTGATTGGTCAACTGGTTGTTATGGCCATAGGCCCTCCCAGGGTGGTTGCTATGCTCTCTACGTCATTGCTGTGCGCTTGTCCGTAAAGCACACCCAGAGTCATAAAGCATAGCGCCACCAGCTAACTTCTGATTGTTTCCTTGTCACGAGGCAGGCATCTGACCTAGTGTCTAGGACAAGGTCATAGAAGCACGTGTTCGGCCATTATGGCTGCCAAAAGGGAAGCTGGTTCCTTCAGTAGTCCCTGTCAAGGTGTCGTCCTGCTCATCACTGACCCACCATTGTCCGGGCTCCAGTGTGTCCCACAAAGTGGTCTGGGAAATTATCAGAGCTGTGTGAAACCTCTTCCTGGAAGACAGTTTCCTCCCTTTTCTGGGTGGCACCAGGTCTCAGCCTTTTCCTTCTCCCAGCATAAGATTCTTCGGAACATTCCAATTTTGTAGGGGCCATTGTTTCCATAGGGTAATAGCCAAAGAGAGGGGCATAAGTGTCTGTCTTTAGACTATCTTCATTTCTGGCAGGGGGGGTACCTACTTTGACAAATTAGCAGGGAAAAGTCTCAAAATTACTCTGTCACATCGACCTCTCTTCTTCCTGTTTCTTTAGAATTCCTCTTCTGGTGAGTGTGGTCTGGCTTCCAGGAATTCCTTTTTTTTTTTTTTTTTTTTTTTTTTTTTTTTTTTTTTTACTAGGCTGGTCTTGAACTCACAGAGATCCACCTGCCTCTGCCTCCCAAGTGCTGGGATTAAAGGCATGCGCCACCAACACCCAGCCAGGAATTCCTTTTAGTGTTCTCTTTTCTGGTCACACAAATCAAACTTTGTTTCTCCTTCCTATACTCCAGACTCACTTTCTTCCCTTATCTTTTCTTTTTTCAAGACCGGATTTCTCTGTGCAGCCCTGGCTGTGCTGGAACTCACTTGGTAGACCAGGCTGACCTTGACCTCAGATCTGCCTGCTTCTGCCTCCTGAGGTGTGCGCCATCATCACCTGGCTACTTGAGACTTTCTTGTTTTCCGTAATCCCCTGCTAAAAGTTCAGGTATTTCAGATGTGATCCATGGTTGAAGGGTTTTAAATGTTTTAAATTTATTTTCAAGAGCCTCGTGTAGCCCAGGCTGATCTATGTAACTATGTAGTTGGATTTCTAACCCTGCTGTATCCACTTCCCAAAGGCTAGGATTGCAGGCACGTGCTATTCCTTCCCAAACTGGAATCTCAGGCTTCAAGCACTCTGGACAAACACTCTATCAACCGAGTTACATCCAATGGCCCCTGGGAAGGTCTTTATCTTTTGTTAAAGGTTAATCTGGTATAGGCTGGAGAGATGGCTCAACAGTTAAAAGAATGTGTAACTTTTGCAGACAACACGAGTTTGGTTCCTAGCACCCATGTCTGGTGGCTCACAGCCTCCTGTAACTCCAGCCAGCTGCAGGGGTTTGAGGTCCACTTCTGGCCTCCACTTTCAATATGGCATATACACACCTAGACACAAATACAATTTTTTTCAAAAGTTAAATCTTACCATTTGTCTTTTGTTGCAGTTTTCATCTATCCTGTATGTTGCCAACCTCAAATGGGGGCGATCACTTAGAAGTTTTTATTGTTTACAGCATCCCATGACTGTCCACAACCCACCAGATGTCCATCTGGGGCCATTGGCTTTCTTGTCCCACATATAAGCTCCTTCAAAGCATGCGGGAGTGTGCTATATTGAAAATTACTTTTATTCAACAGGTCAAACAGAAAGTAGCAATCCCATTTCAGGTAATCTTCAGAGAACCATATTGGACATTGAAAGAAAACAAAATTGAGGCTACATTCTACTGGATTGGACTGGATTGGCCCTCCGGGCCACCTACGTATTGCGCACACTTAGAAGGTTCAGGAATTGTTAGTACTAGCTACATTGGTTTTTCCAGCCTCGCGCAGGGCGGGATATTGGTCCCAGATGGCTCACAGTGGGGGCGTGGCCTCACAGCCTATGCACCTGCGTCTGTCTGGCTCCGCCCCCTCGAGACGCGCTGTCTTTCGGGGCTTGTAGTCCCAAGCCCCACCGGAAGGCGTGAAGGGCAGGCGTTCCTGCCTTTCTGCGCTTGAGGTCACCTCTCTTTAGCGCTCCCTCATTCTTAGGCGTGGCCTCCCGGAGCGCCACGGTCCTAGGCTGCTCCGTTGCGTTCTTCTGGTTTTCAATAAAGTTTTCCTCCCTGTACGGAGCTCAAGATGGCGGCCTCCTGGTCGCCCTTGGTTACCCTGCGCTCCGCCGCTCGCAGCCGGCTGACTGGGCTAGGTGCTGGGTGCGGGGCGCGGGCCGTCGCAGTTCCCCCTCCGACCCCTGGCCCTGGGAAACCCTTTTGGAAAGGTCAGTGACCGTGTCACGAGCGGGCCGCGCAGGCTCTGGGGTCTCCCCACTCCCTGATCATTCCCAGCTGCACCCTCTTCGCAGGTTTTAAGGATCCTAGAGAAGATTTCGTGTCCCTTGACCTTTTTTTTTTTTTTTTGTACCTCGTCCTGAAGGAGCTCTGAACACCCCAGGCAGCTGCCCCGAGATTAACTTCCATTTAAGGGTCAGAGGTCAACTCAGGTCCCCTCCTAGGCAGCTGGAGAGCTCAGGTGTACAGGAGCCTGGCTTGGAGGGAGAGGTGAGCAAGTGTGGAGTTGGTGTCTGGGGCCCCTCCCATCCAGCACCATCCAGGGTTTGATGGCTGATAATGGGCTTAAAGCTAGGCCACCGACCCTGTGCCGCATCCCCGCTCCCATTCTAGATGCAGACTCAAATGAGGAGCCCAGAGCCGTCTTAATAGTCAAATTCCTAGAGGTGTCACTGGGCTTATTTGTTGTACTGTTGTGTGTTCGTGAATGAGTGAATTATATTTTGACTAACCAAACCCACAAGAGTGCTAATTATTGTTTGAGACATGGTCTCACTGTGTGGGGGCAGGCTGGCCTGGAACTTGAGATCCTCCTGCCTCAGTTTCCTAGAAGTGTTAATTTTACCTCGATGTTCACTGAACTGCTGGCTACTGAAAGACATCGAACCCTGTGTGTGTCATTGTTTCTCTAGCACTTAGGGGCGTGATTGATGTCTGATGGGCAGATATTTTCGAATGAAAGAAGTTATTCTCACGTTCTCCCCATCCACAATTGTGCTTTTCCGTTTCTCTTCTCCAAGTATCTCTTTATATAACTTAGTAAGTTAATATAATTTAACAATGTATATAAGTTAATTATGATTTTCGTCATCTCAAAATGTTTCCTTTAGTCATTGAAATTAATATGAGAACTATTAGCCTTAGATGCTAAACTGGCAAAGAGCCTGCCGCTAAGCCTGAGTTCAGTTCCCAGGGTGCATATGGTGGAAAGAGAGGACCAACGCTTACAACTTGTCCTCTCTCTCTTTCTCTCTCTCTCTCTCTCTCTCTCTCTTTCTCTCTCTCTCTCTCTCTCTCTCACACACACACACACACACACATACACACAGACACACACATAACACTTTTTTTTTTGTAAGTAAAAATACTCCCATTTTCTAAACAAGAGAAAAACTGGAGTTTAACTCTTAACCGTGAGTCCTGAGCGGGGAGTGGTTATTTAGGATTCACACTAATATTTTATCTCCATTTTTTTTCTTGTTTTGAAGTTTCGTTTAGAAAAACATCGGCTTAAACAAAGGAAGGAAATAAGTAATGGGAAAGAATATAAGGAAAGGAAGGGCAGGCTTTGTTTGTTTTTGGCACTACTGTGCTTGAAAGCAGGGTCTCCTGTGTGCTAGGCAAGCCCTCTCTGCCGCTGAGCTTGTCAGTTCTATCCCTTTTGTTTTGAGGTGGTGTCTAAATTGCATCCTGGGTTGGCTTGGAATTATCTCTGCTGTTCAGGTGGGGCTTGAGCCCTGTGGTATTCCTTCTAATTCCTGAGCAGCTGGGATTGCAGGCCTGCGCCACTGGGCCTGGTGAGTTATCCCTTAATTATTTTTTAACATTTATTTTATGTGTATGAGTGTTTGCCTGCATTTGTGTATGTATACCACTAGTGCCTGTAGTGGTCAGAAGAGGATGTCAGGTCCCCTGAGCTATAGTCACAGACAGTTACAAAATGCCATGTGGGTGCTAAGAACTAAGCCTGAGTCCCATAGAGCCGTTTCTTTAACTCCTTTAATTTTGTTTTTAATGCCTTCTGTTACTTTAATGCCAGGCCTGGATCCCTCATTTTGTAAACTCAACCTTGAAAAGTTTATGGGTCCTTAGGAAGCACAGCATTATGAATTTCATTTGGGGATGTGTACATTTCCATTAGGTGGATTTTGATATTTTCCATAATTTAAATCATTGATTTCACTACCTGTTTTCTTTAGGTCTCAGTAAGTCTTCATTTAATGTGCAAGTTTTAAACTTCCTGCCACCCTCCAAGACAGTATTTGTATTTGTCTGTGTAACCCTGGCTGGCCTGGAACTCACAGAGATCCGCCTGCCTCTGCCTCCCGAGAGCTGGGATTAAAGGCGTGCAGCACCACCACCTAGCTAGTTTTAAACCTCTTAATGGTTAAAAGGAAGAAGACCTTTGTTAGACAGCAGAGTGACTATCTGTGCTTGGGAGCCCAGGTGGTAATCTTAACACTTGTTGCCTGATCATAATGTCATAGCAGGTTTGAACCAGCCTGAGCTACATAGTGAGTTCAAGTCCAGCTCTGTCTCAGCAAACAAACAAACACCTAATAGCAGCAAAAAAATCATATTGGCCAGGGTATGGGTAGAAATGTGACATCATTGTTAATTCAGTTTAACTCTTATACTAAATGTAAGGAGATGTGTGAATAAACTGGGTCCTAGCCCCTGGAAGGGAGATAGAATTGTGTCACCTAACATTTGATAGCTAAAGGACCCTTTCCTTTTTTTCTTAAAAAAAAAAAACAAAAATTACACACACACACACACATTTATTTGAACCAGGGTCTTGGCTGGAGCTAGCCTGGAACTCAGATCTACGTAGTTCACTAGGCTGGCTTCAAACTTGTAATCCCCATGTCTTGGCCTCCCAGCTGTGGTTACAGGTGTGAGCCACCAGGCCCAACTGAGCCTTTTCTATATTCTAGGCAGACTGCTAGTCATTTTTCTTACACTCTGAGTTTCATTTGTTTGTGTTTTCAGCCAAGTGTGGAGAGAACAGCATATGACCCTTGCTGGTTTTTATGGTTCTGAGGGAGAGTAGCCAGAGATGAAGCTGGGATGGGGAGCTGCCGTTGGTTTCAAAGATTTCAAAGAGCTGTTGATGCCAAGGGATCTGTCCAAGCTTAGAAAGATGCTGTGGAATTTTCTTAGGAAGAAATGTGGTCAGATCTGTTTCAGCATTGTGTCTTCCCGGGATGCCAGCTTGGGGGACTGAGATAGGGCGGGAGCTGGGAAGGAAGGTCAAGTAGTTGAGAAGGCAGTTTGACTAGGCCTCAGTTACTGCTGTGGTGAAAGACAAGAACTCAGAGATGGCCGCTTGATAGAAATGAGAGTCCTGCAAGAGATAAGGAAAATCTGTTAATATCCATGTGGAGTTGCAGGAAAGGAGCCCAAGAGGAGCAATTCCAATTTCTGGCTTTAAACTTTTTTCACAAAACAACTCCGGTCCTGTGGAGGGGCAGCAAGCACTTAGAACTGCTGAGCCATCTCCCCAGTGCCAAGATTTGGTTTGACTCATTAAACTTGGGGAGTTTGTGATGGTGCTGGCTGCCCGGCTGGTGTGGGATAAGAGAGGGAGGAAGAAGGAGGAGGCTTGCCAGGGTAGGTTTGTAGAGTGGGAAGCATAAAGTCTGAGTCCCAAGGAGAGATGTTATAGAAAGAAGGGGCCTCCAAGAAAAGCAGAGGACATGGAGAACTAGGGTGCACACCAAAAGGGAGGGCATCTCTAGGTTTTCCAAAATATAAAAAATTCTGTCTAAAATTCTACTTTATTTAAGCTAGCCTAGGAAAAGTGTGTTTTGTAGAGGTAAGGGATTATGAGGGTCAGATCTCCTGATGTCCCTTTGTTATAGCACCCTTTTGAAGCATGTGCTGTACTTTTAGGTGTTGCTATTAGATGGTAACTCTTTTTTTTACCTTCAGCTCACAATCGCATCTCAGTCCATGAACATAAGAGATCTTCCCAATGAAAGTGCAGGTAGTGCTGAGCCCGGTTTACTGTGTGGCTTGGTAGAATTATTAGTAGTGTAAAATGATCTTAGGGTGTGTGTGTGTGTGTATGTAAGTGAAGGCCAAAGGTTAACTTTGGGTATGGTCTCTAGGGATTCTTATATCTGCTTTTTTGAGAAAGGGTGTCATGACACATAGGCTAGATTGGCTGGCCAGTGACCTGTAGGGATCTGCTTGTCACCTTTTCAGCACTGGCTTGTAAACATGGACCAACTACCATGCCAGACTTTTTATGTGAGAGCTGGAGACTAATGGCAGGTTCTTATGCTTGTACACTAGCCCTGCAGGTGTACTTCGTATGTATCAGTTTGGTGGCTATCTGTATGTGAAACAATTCAAATCTATTAGCATTTATTATTAGAGATAAGCATTAATGCCCACTCTTATTTTTTCAGTGTTCTAGGATAGGTCTTCTCTGTGTAGCCCTGGCTGTTCTGAAGCTCGCTCTGTAGATCAGGTTGGCCACCTGCCTCTGCCTCCTGAGTGAATCACTTAATCACTTAAGTACATCGCACTGTACTGATTCTTCTTTAAACGATATTACTAGTGTGTGTGTGTGTGTGTGTGTGTGTGTGTGTGTGTGTGTGTGTGTGCGTGTGTGTGTATGAGCTGTGACCCACATGTGGGCCTTAGATGACAACTTTGTGGAGTCACTTCTCCTTCATCTTTCTATAGGTCCAAGGATCAGACTCAGGTGGTTAGGCACATGCAGCAGCCCCTTTACCTGCTGAGCCATCTTGTTGGCTGGGGCTAGCTCTTCTCAGTTCTTCTATAATTGTTCTTATTTCAGAAGCTACTCTTATCAACATGTTTCCTGTCTTGTGTTCTCTACCAGGTGGCAGTTATGAAGTGACAGAGCTTACACATGCAATTCTTTTTTAAAAATTCATGTTTTAGCCAGGTGGTGGTGGCACATGTCTTTAATCCTGGCACTCGGGAGGCAGAGGTTCAGATCTCTGAGTTCGAGACCAGCCTGGTCTACAGAGCTAGTTCCAGGACAACCTCCAAAGCCACAGAGAAACCCAGTCTTGAAAAACCAAAAACAAACAAAAAAAATCATGTTTTAAATGTATTCTTTGACAACTTAATAATGCCTGTTATACAGTGTGTTTTGATCTATTCTCCCTCCAGACTCTCCCAGCATCAGCCCCTTACACCTTGTCCACTCTTTCCTTCCTTCCTTCCTTCC